AAACCAACAGTTTATAGTTTAAACTGTGAAATTGTGTGCGCGAGCGAGCGCGCGCATGTGTGTGTGTTGTAATTATGGTGCCTGCTAACAATTTCATACTGCCACATTGCACATATGGCTTCCAAGCTAGCTTTATCTGAATCTTTGTGAATCTATTCTCCGTGCTATTAAACTAAGCACATTCCACATCGTTCAAAAGTAATTACACTTTTGTCTAGAGTGTAGGAGACTGCTCTCCCCAAACAATGAAATTCTCATTATTAGAGCTGGCACAATAACGGCACTGGTGTTCACAACACGGTGCATTGTACCATCACAATAACTTATCCTAAGCTTGATGCACAAAGGTACACTGGAAATTAAAATTTCTCTAAAACCACTGTGGTTTTTTTTTTTTTTTTTAATAGGCATTCTTTAGCTCAGCATAATTAGAGTCCTATTTGACTTTTTAAAAAGCTATATACATTCAGATTTCCATTCTCTTTGCAACTTCTGAATAGTAGCTAAGTGCTCTAGCCACATGTTGTTCTGACCCAACACTATTCACATGCTGATGACCTCAGACCAACAGGTGAAGTGCAGGCCAGGATGTATGTGAGAAGAGAATTCAAATGCAGCATTAAACAACCTTTTATTTTGGACAAGTGGAGGAAAAGTGTGAATCAATGTGTCAGTAAGCTCTTTGACCAGTAGTACTGTTATTCTTAATATGACCAAAATTTCTTAATATTATTCCCAAGTTACAGAGGAATAAGTTCATTCATCACAGAAATGTAACATTTTTTACTGTGATGCAATAAAGCTACTTAACAGCGCACTGTAATATTTTTCTATCAATTTAAAGTACTGCTGAAAATGAATCCTAAATCCCACTGAAAGTGCAGGACAAATGTGCACCAGGAGTGCAGTCATGTAGTTTGGAACAACTGGACTGTGGCAGCAAAATTACATCTTACCAGTTTGATCATTTGGTCAGAACATTTTTTTATTTTTTTTTTTTAATCTCATCCAGCATTTGATTGATATTCTACTGTTAAGAAGAATGGTCGAATTTGACCACAGTTATACCACGCCCACGGTATATTTCAATCAGTGCTTTTAGCCTTGACATCTCTTATTTTCAGAAATTAGCACACAGACACGGCTGGTAAGATCAGTAGTCTTGAGGGGTGGCAAAAGTAACATGGGAAGACAGACAAATAGAAATAAATAAAACAAACCCTTGTAACTTAGATAAGCCAACCACTATCTGTGCTGTCCAAATACTGTAGCCTTTATAGGTTTCTTCAACAGAGGTACTGACTGATACTGTAATCCTCAAGTGTTTCCCTGCTAAGCTTATGGCCTGCTATGAACATCCTAAGGGGACTCTCGGATATATTCTAGGTCAAATGATTTGTCTCGTATTTTCTACTGAGCCTTTCGTTTAAGTCTGATAAATTATTGTTTCTCTTCTTATCAGTGGAAGAGCTTTCCTACTTACAATAAGTATCTAGTTTCTTCCAACAAGAGGAAGACAGTTTGGCACAGAGTTGCCCTTCCCTTTCACAGAACCACAGAATGGTTGAGGTTGGAAGTGACCTCTGCAAGTCATGTGGTCCAAGCCCCCTGCTCAAGCAGGGCCACCTACAGTCAGTTGCCCAGGACCATGTCCAGATGGCTTTTGAATATCTCCAAGGAAGGAGACTACACAGCCTCTCTCAGCAGCCTGTTCCTATGCTCAGTCACTCTCACAGTAGAAAGCGTTTCCGGGTGTTCAGATGGAGCCTCCTGCGTTCCATTTTGTGCCCACTGCGCTAACCTTTCTCTGGCTGCAGTTCCAGTAACCTCAGAAATAGCCGATTCATCTTGATGGGAAGATGGGGTTTGGGGTTTTGCCAATTTTGGTTAGGTTTGAAGATCTCTTTCTAGGGATTTTGCCCTCCTTTTATAAAAATTTACCAAGCATTTCGAGCTGTGTCTCTACGTTGGCAGTTGTTACAACTCGGTAAAGTGCAAGTAAAGGGTAAATGTTCAAAAGTCTAAGTTGGGCAAACTGTTGCGTTACCGCTCTAGTGCAATCAGCCCTTTACCATGAGGATCCTACGAAGTCCCAGCTGACAGGACTTGTAAAAGGAAGCACAGCTGGAAGTAACCTATGACACAGAGGGTCAATCAGCAGCTAGAAAAGTGAGGCCAAGAAATTGATTCTCAAGGTTGAAATTGTTTTCCTAACTGTCCCTTCATGATCCAGTGCTGAGAGGCAGAACATGAGGAGACAGGGATGTCTGTGGTGACATGAGGAATTCAGCTACACAGCCTACTTATGAGTCAAAGCTGTGTATTCATACCTTTTCCAGATCCCTTGGCTGTGGCTTTCTTCTGCTGAGATTGCTCCCTAAGCCAAATGAGTGTTGTGCATGTAGCTAACACAGAAAGACCTCTCTGGATCTATATCATGTCCATCTAAGAATTCCTTTGGAGAAGAGTCTCGGCCAACAATCATGCACAAAACTGTATGTTTAGAGGGGTGCAGCAGAGTGATGCACTACATGATTTCAGACTGGCTGTAAGCCTGATCCTGTCTTATCATATGTTGGAGAGATCTGTAAAGGTGTATCCTGCTAAGGACAGCATGTGGCTGCAAAACGAGAACTCCATAGTCACTTCCAGACTCAGTTAGTAGGTGTAGTAGTACAGCTGACAAGCTATTAAGAAGTGTGAAGCACACTGCTGGAGCTTTATCAATAAAACTGTATTGGACTGCACTGTGTGGTGGTGTGTGCACATGTGCATACACCTGGATTTGCTTCCCAGAGACTGTAAAGTAGCATAGAATGTCAATTCAAACAGTACAAAAATGACCTCTGTAATGCTACAGAAGTGAATACTCTTTGGGAATTACTTTCATAACTGCTAATCACACAGATGTAAACAATCAAAAAGTTACCCAAAGCACTACGTTCAGTTACTTCCTTCTTATAACTACATACTACAACAGCAGAGGGAGTGATTATATATATTGCACTCATTTACACTGATCACCTCCTTTCTGGAGACACATAGGCTACATCCTTTATGACCTACCCGGCTAATGATTTTTACAAGGTACCCCTCACTAAAAGAGAGATATTACCAAAATGTCACATTCATATGAACTGCCAATTTTCTTATGTCTTCTATGAGGACAAAACCAGTTCCTACAAACCCCCAAACATGCTTCAGATAAGCCTACAGCATCTCACTACTACAGCAAAACTGTCTAAAACATGAAATAATTCAGATTCTTGTATTATTAGGAGACAGAACACACTGTTTTGACATCCCACTAAATATAGTCTTCATAGCAGGAAGTCACACTAAATGATCAGCTAAACTTCGTGGTCTTAAAAAAAAACTATAAATGAATAAAGAAGTTAGTTAAAATCAGTTAAAAAGCAGTGAAGTATTTCAGTGAGGTGCAGTTAAAATACTCCTGCTGGGCTCCTCAGAAGACAATGAGTTTTTTATTTCATTAGGCTCTGATTCTACACTACTGGTGTCATCACGCATTTATCTATTGACTTAAATGTTGTCAGGAACAACCCTTATCTTCAGTACATTCTCCTAAAATAGGCCAGAATACAGCAAAGCTCATACACCAGTTACATACCCTGACATCCCTTTGGCTGGAACTGTATATTAATGAATTACATCTCCATAAAATATATGATAAGGGATGAGAAGTAAACAAGCTAGAAAAAGATAGTGACGTGTCTGCCCATGAGTAATTGTTCCAATGACGTGCTTTCTTCATTTAAAGTTGCAATAACACAAAGTAAAATTAAATATTCCAAACCACTGTTTGAACTGAAGCATTAGACCGAAAAGGAAGAAAAATGGATCAGGATCAGTGAGTTATTTTGTCTAGGAGAGCAGCTTCAGTGAACATCCAGTGACTTGGTCCTATGAGAAATAATAATCCCTAAGGCTTTTTACTTAGGCCTTGTTACATATGCGTAATGAGCTGTAAGGGCTTAAACACCACTATGGAGCTGTTGCAGGCTTTTATGAGAACACACTATCACCTATTTTGCAATGCCTTTTTAAAAGCCTTCAAATATGCAGGTCCATTCACTACCTTCACTGAAAGTGAAATTGTCAGTGCCCTGGTCAAAGTGGGGGACTAAGAGAAAACTTACAGCCAATCTGTAAACAGGCAAGAGCTGCGTAAGTGTGTTCACAATAGAGAGCTTTGGTTGAGGTGCCTAAGTTTCAATGCCTTTCCCTGCACCTTTCAACCTTTATGAAAATGTATCACAGTACTCTGGATGATGGGCCCAAACACGTCATGTTACAACACTGACATTACATATACTAGAAAGGAACATGGCATTGCTTTTTGTTCTTTTTGTTTGTCTGCTTGTAGACAAAGCCAGTTCTGGACTTCCAGCAGGCTGCTAAACGTAATGAATTAAGTGAGCAGTGTCATTCATAAAGTGTGCAAAAATGTGGAAATTGACAAGTGAAAAAGTGGTAGGCCGATTTAATTCCATAAGCACAGCAAATTGTCTCATAGGTATCTGTGGCATGCGAAATTTTTAAAACCAGCAAAATCCAAAGTTGCTTTTTTTACCCTTTATACAGACTTCTGTGCAGTACTATTGCATAAACTTGTCATTGGGGTGATATTTCAGACACCATGCCAAACATGACTCTCACTTACAGTGTTCCAAAATCATTTACTGTTTGCTGAACACATACGCTTCAGATTCACATCACCGTAGCTAAATATTCTAGCACCCTAAATGCCAGCAGGCAAAAGGTGAGGAAAAGTGGAGTCTGCACTGCAAGTGATTTAGCATTTGTCGCAGAGGGTAAAGGCGGCCCAGCTAGGTCAAAGCTTTCACATTATTGTAGCATGTTCTGTACGTGTAACTGTGCATTGTATACTCCATAAAGTACAGATCTGGATGCCAAACTACTGTAGAGGCAGAATTCAAAGAATGGATGTAAGCACAATAGACCATTAGCAAACCTACCATTGTGTTGTGCTGAGAAGTGGGAGTCCTATGGCCACAGTTCTCTTGCGTCAGCAGAGAAACTGGCTGAAATTCCTCAGAGTGAGGCTTGTTGGGAAAACTCACATGCAAGGGAAGGTGAAAGGCTGGGAGCCCGTCACTCTCCTCTTCTCCCACTTTCTGTCTGCTTGTCACCATGGCTACCTCTCCATCTGCTTCCCCATACGGAGAGGCTGGTCGCTTGGAAGACATCCTGGAAGGAACAAAAGAGGAGAAAATAATGAAACCTCCAAATAAATCCTTAATGCCGTCATTGTGTGGTTAGGGGCCATTGTAACAGAAATGCCTTTTTTGTGCTGGCAGAGAGCAGGAAACCATCCAAATACCACTGCAAAGCATACACAATTGGGAACAATGGCCAAGCAGGTAGCAACAGAACAGTGGCTTGTTTGTTGTGAGAATAATACACTAATATAGCACTCTCTTGTATTCTGGCTTCTTAAACATGAAAATTCACCTAAGACAACTATAAAATGAAATGCAATTCCTTTAAAAAATATCCATCTGGTTTTGCATTTGCAAGAGACTGTAAGAAGATAGAATGTCTCCCAATACAAGCTATTGTCAACTTAGCTTTTAAGGAACAATCATCCGCATGTATTTAACCGTAACTGATAAAAATATAAAGTAACATAAAATAAAATAACTCGCTAGCAAGCCAAAACGTCTGTGTTTATAAACTTCACACATGTGAACAACAGAGTGTTACAGTCGTGTTGCAAGAATCTTTTCAGGTTTGCAGATGTGGGACAGTTAAGCAATTAAACATTTGGACATTAATAAACTAAGCTTTTTGACAACACAAATTTGGGGTTGTACCAAGTGAATTAAGATTTGCTACCAAGATACACTACAATTCCTACCTATAGCTAGATCAGGAAAAAACATGTAGATGTAATTTACTTCTATATCTATACAAAAAAGGATACACAAGAAAGGTACATAGAGCGCACATTGTAAAAACCACACACAAATTTTGACTGAAAGTTCAGGCCCACATTCCAAACTCATTGAGACTGATACTGTTCTGATAGCGCATATATATCTTGAACTTTTAGAAAGACTGAAAGAATCCTTATGTCATTGGAAAACCCAGTTTTCATCCAAACAAGGGACTACTGAAAATCTTACAGGACAATCTGAACCCAGAATGCTTCCGGTTTGGTCTTCAAAACAGAGGGGTCCAGTGAAGTATTAAAATGCAGACGACTTCTGGGATTAATTACAGCAACATTGTTCACGAAAATCAGGGTATGTGCATGGATAGCATAATGGGCCACTGTGCTAAGCAGGAGCATCTGTAATAAGGAGTGGAATGAGAAATAAGAAATCCTATAGGCATAGTCAAAAGAAGACAAGAAAGTAAAAAAAAAAAAAAAAAAAGAAACATTTTGTAGAAAATAGGAAGTTACAAACAAGGAAATCGAAGACTATTGTATGTAAAAGCTGAAAAGAGAGGCTGAAGTAATACTGCTCCTCCTCAAAAATCTAGTATTTATGATTCTAATTACCCCATTTTGATTTTCCACTTCACAGTTAAAGGACTGCATTTCAAAAGCCCAGCAGCCTCTTGAACCATGTGTGGGGCTGCTGTGAGGTGGAGCATGTCCATATGATTTGGCATATTGAGCACGAAATGGTTCTTAGCAGCAGTCAACTGGGTCTGAAAACAAACAGTGACTTTAAACAGCCCTTTGTTAGGACTTATTTTGTTTCTAATGATCTCATTTTGAGCTTTGCCTCCTGAGCCAAGTTAGATTATACTTAAACCCCCCCCCAAAAAACAACCTCCAAAAAACAACAAAGAAAACCTCAGACAAAAAAAAAAAATCCCTACTAGAACCTATACTCAGCTGCACACTGCCTGTTCTGAACACCACCTATTGCCTGTACATAGAGAAGCAATCTGTATTTTCTATTAATGTTTGACTTAGTCCAACAGACTAACACTTCATACATCCTACCTGAATTCTGTCTTCTAGGCTTTCCCACCTACGTGTCTGCAGCGAAGCATATGTATAAAGACAGAGATCATCAGATAGACTCTTACTGGCAGTTTTCTACTAGCCCACTGAATTCAGCATTTTACAGCTATGTTTGACGTGACAGATCCCAAGCTTTTCTTCTGCAGAAACCATGCAACTGCCTCCTGAAGTTAATGTGAATTATTCATATTCTACATTGCACCGCACCGAGATACACATTTGCTATTGATTCTGAGTGTAACATTTTAGTTACTCATTTCAACGCTGCCTTAATAGAACCTTGGGTTTTTACAAAATCTCTCTTTCTGAAAATCAGCACTAAGCAATTGTCCCAATTTTGGCGAACAAAAAGCGAGGGACACAAGATCATTAGTCAATTATCCCACAATAATGTTCTATACTTTAGGACATTTATATTCAATAAGATGACTGAAAATATTGTAAAGCATCTACAAAAGTCTCCACTACAATCCACTTTGACAATACAATAGAAAGAATGTCTTGCTTTGTATTGAAGATTTGTATTATATACTATATATCCAAATTGTGTTAAAAACTCCTACTGTTAACCCAGAATAACCCAGATTCTGTCACATTGCTTCACAATGAGGGTTTGACTGTCGTGTTGAAATAAAGCTCTTCTGCTAACTTTATAAGTGAATATACAGTTTCCTCTACTGTGTTCAGTTAGCACGCTGCAGATCATCGCCTTCTGCTTGTCACTGTTCCCAACAGGGATGATATCGTTTTCTGCGGGGAATTTATAAAAACAGGCAAGGAACGCAATAGAAGTGACCACCTCCGTGTACTAGCAATAACAGAGATTATTATAGTTTTGATCTAAACCAAAAACCTATGGGTTGGACTGTAGGCCAATCTACAGCGATAGTAGAGAGGGAAGAAGAAACTTTTCCCTTCCTCATGCAGCTCTTAGGAGATCCAGTTTAAATTACAAGCCCCATGCCCATCACAATGCTAGAAGGCTAACGAACTGGTAAAATGGCTAAAGCAGGCAAGTTATGGATCTAATCTGCCTTAGCCTTTCAAGTGACCAGGACACTCAAAGAAATGGATGCACAACCCTAGGTAAGGGTCACACAGCTCAGACGATGACTGTGATTTGTTTTCAGGTAGCTCTGTCCACATCCAACATGAGTTAGGCGTCATCTGGCCTCTCAGAAATCTCATCATCCCCTTTAACATCAAACACAAACATCAGTGTTTCGCAGAAATTACTTACATTACTTACGAACATCTGGGAAATTTACACAAGAAAATAGAATATTTAAATAAATAAATAAATGTCTACTTTTGGAAATGTCTTCCAAAAAGTCAGTAATTATCAAAGCCTGTTATCCTATTAGCAGCAAAGGATTCAATCTCTGATGGGTTCATGAGCAGAAAGCAACATGATACAAGGTAAATTCATTCACAGATGGTCTTCCATTATTTCTACAGCTTTATTGGTCCCTTTTCTGAATTTGAAATGCTCCCACACCACATATCCTTGAATTATTTTCTTTTCATACATCTTCATTTTCCTACTGAGCTAATACTAGGTCTCAACAGATTCTGTTGAGAATCTGAGATGCATTCTGAGATGCAAGCAGAGTTCCTGCTATAAACAATAAGGAAAAGGAGACAGCTAAATTCTGAGTAACAACATTACCTGAAACCGCACTCTTTCAAACAGATCTAGGTCTAATGAAGGACTGGAATTATCCCACCTTAACAAAGGACTGCAAACATCTTGGATCTACCCTCAATGATAACACGACAGTTTACAACTTACACGACTAAGATCTTCTCCTCAAACTAGTTTAAACTCAGAAGGGTTTTCAATTACACTCCTCTGAAAGAAGGTTTACAATGAGAGAAAACATCAGTTTCCTCAAATATCAACTTATGGATAGGATGAAAAAAAACCAAACCCAAACAAAAAAAGCAAACAAACCCACAACAAACCCCCAAGATACAACTCTCAGAAAAGTAGCAATACAGTGGGCCAAATTCTGAACCTAAAAGGGTGTCTCTGTAGGTGAAATCTGTTGCAACTTTAGACTTACAAGTAGTGTTGCATTTTGAACTGTCATTAATCATTCCTACTGAATATAAATAGCTAAATAGTAATTTTTTTAGACAGCCTAAATCTGCAAAGTTCAGACTGGGACACAGGCAGTACTCAGCCCACTGTAGGAACACATTGGATGAAACGTATCCCCATGCTTGATTTTTATCAATGATTAGGATGGAACTGAAGATTTAGTTCTGGTGATGAATTCAAATATGACCCTGTTGCTTGTAAAGGGACTCTTTTTTTCTGGTTTTGGAAAGGCTTCTTAATATGCAGAAACTGCAGTAAAAAAAAACATGCCTTTTGTTAAATTTTCATTAAATAAAGGCTTTTTCTGGTAGCAAGAATGTTTTTTTCAGGGAAGTAAAATTTCACTCTCCTAACTCACTCTTATGCCACAAATATTTGATGTGATTCATCTTACAATAGTTTCTCTACTTATTTCTTTACTCCCCTTCAATGTACAACAGACTCTTTGTAGGCTTAAACTGATACCCTGTGTCTATTGATCTCAGTGTTTTTGGACTGACTTCAGCATGGCTGGATTTTCCCACTGGAGAGAGTAAGAACTACGTTGCGTCCACATGAATTGTTTCCTCATGCCATCTACAGGTATTGGTTCTACCCAAATAATTTCAGGCTACCAAATAACATTATTTAGTTTGTTTGCTTGTTTTCTTCAAGTTCAGTGCCTCACAAAACTGACTTTTCCACAGCTCTATTTTTTTATCATTATTTTTAACAGAACTTCATTTAAGTGTCGCCACTACATTTCCATTTGTTCTTTAGTTTTGGTTCATTTCATACATGATTGTATATCAAAAATAAATCTAAAATGGCATCCAGTATTCAAGGAGATAGTGCCCTCTAGCACACAACCAGCATCCATCTCAACTTGATCGCTCATGCCATAAAATTTCATAATTTTGTGTCATAAAACTCTAATCTTGTTACATTAAGCAAAATACCTCAGAAACATTTCAGATACCCACAAAAGCTTTTGGAGAAATGGCTTATCCATGTCTTCAGAAGTGACAAACACAGATGTGTCAGGAGAAAAAGATATGAGGCCATAAATCTTAACTTGTTGGGAGTTAATTAAGGGATTCATCAATCATTACACAGCTCACTCCATACATATACAGGCAAAATCCCGTCAGCTGCCACAACCTACAGCAATCTACAGGTTAAAAACTCCCCAAGTCCCTCTGTTCTGACTATTTATAAATGACTTTGTATAATCTAGCATTAAGACCTGTAATTATAAAACAGCATTAAAACAGGCCTGCATAGTTATGGATAATTATAGTTGGTACACTTTTTAAAGAAATAAAAAGCTTTTCCATTCAAACACAGGCTTTGCCTTTTTGACAGCTCCAAGTCCACAGGATGTAGAGAGATGATTTAAACTGTATGTCAAAATTTTGACTGTGCAAGACTTTCTTTTTTTCCCCCTTATCAAGAGAGGCATTGTTGTTTTCTCACCATAACTAGGCGTGACAGCGCCTGACTGGAGTCGCGTAGCCAGTTTCTGAATCGGCATGAAAACGTTCACCTCTTGAGTTTCTCTGGCAGCTATAAACTAAGTCTTTCTCATGGGTAGAGTTTAAATCACTCGGCCCCATACATCGGAGACAAGGCACAGGGCTGCATTCTGAAGAGACGCACAAGGACCAGACAAGCAGAGCTGATCCCACAGCAGCAGTGTGGAGGGTCATGCCAGCTACCAACAGCATCAGGAGTTTACTCACTAACACGGCCTGATTCCAAATCAAATGCTATACGCTAAGCTAGTCCCAGGAACTTCAACGGGATTCAATCTGACCCTCTTCCTGATCTGCATGGATATTTCCCTCTAATTAAAGTACATGTTGGAAATCTGCAGACTCTGCTTTTTCACAGGAAATACTTACGATCATAGACAGCAGCAACATTACATGTATCTAACGTGTAAGCATACACACACACACGTGTATAGATGCAGAAACACAAGCTTATCCAAAATGTCAGCAATACATCCACCTCATCTTTGATCACATTCATTACTAATGAAACGGTTTGTATTCCCAGGTTTATTGAAGATACGATCTCTCTACAGACAGTCCAAGCAAAAGGTGCTAGTTAATAGCAACGATTATCTCCATTCCATTTTGGCCCCACACTCATTCATTATTTATGTACACTGAATAACTAGTACCTTTTAAAAAAAAAAAAACAAACAATTCTGTTCATTTTGACAGGATTACTTGTGTAATAAGGTATTACTCAACATGAGTAAGGGTGGCAGACTCCCACACTCTGTCCCACTGGGAACTGCAAGCCCGACTTGTTTCTACACATACCACTAAAAACAGACTTCACTTGGCAATATCTTTGAGTCATTTACAGCCTGGTTTGGAATTCTCTGCTGAAGTAACTGTACAATTAAAAAAAGAAAAAAGAAAAAAAAAAAAAAAGAAAAAAGAAGCAAACGTATCTCTAATCTGCTAATCAATAAAAAATGTGCATGAAACGTGCTCTCATCTGTCACTCAGAGATGGAATAATCTGTTAATTATTATTTTCTAAGATCGTATCAATCAGCCATCTTTTAAAAGGCACATACACTACAAATAAGTTGTGTTATTTGAAAAGGGTTTTGATGAACAAATCACTTTTGTTAATACAAGCCAAGACTGCTATGGCACAACTTGGGCAATATTACTGCGCAGTTGTCTATTACTATAGCTGCCACAAGTAATCCTATGGTTAAGGCCACCCAACAATGTCCATTTCACCCAACTCACTTTCTCCCTTTTGCTTTACAGATATCTTCCCCGTATGAGATAACTTTCACAATTTTCTTTAGTCTACCAGTTTAGACGATTCTGAATACAAAATGGGCAGGGAATATGCTATCCCTTATCTATTTTAAAGTTTGCATGTTAAAGAGTAGTATAGTATCAGCTTGGCTGATACACCTGGTATTCCACATATTGTGGAAACTTTTTTTTGAGAAAAGGTACTGTTCAAAATTCCAGTGGTAAATGGTTTCATTTTGACAAGTTTTGAAACCTCACATAAGAAAGTTGTTACAAGCATCTTTTAATAAAATCTTAACAAAAAACTTGTAATTTTTTTTTATTAGAAAAAATAAAAAAACCACACTTTCTATAAACTCTGTGCTCTCAACTACAAATTTACATCTCCATTTTCTTGCATTTGCAAGGAATTTACGCATGAAAAACCACTCTAAAATCAAGTCTAGGAAAAATACGTTGTGAATAAAAGTTCACGTTGAATCTTCCCAACATGTGTTATGCAAAGATTTCCATTGACCTTTTGAGGCAGGTAACTGGGAAAGATTCTTTGTGCGTGACTAAGTTGTTTAGTGAAATACTGTAGCCTGAAAACAAACTGACCCTCAACCAAACCAGAATTTGTAAGGTGACGAAGGAACTCATATCATGATACTATAATCTATTACTGCAATGAATATTACCTAATTCTTTTATAGATCTCATACAGGATTTTGCATTTTTGTTCTTGTTTTGTACAGTAACTAGTAGGTGTTAAGCAGGAATTTTGTTTAGTGATTTACCCAGACACTCACATTCAAAATCAGCTTTAGCATGAGAATCTGTATCTCATTTTTGTTTTGTACCTGTCAACTTCATAAGCCTTTTGGTTTTTACTAGTCTGCATGCCAACTAAAAGAGCCAAAAATCTAATAGCATGTTTACAAACCAGAAACTACAGGATCAGATTTTAGTTCTGCTGAAAAGTTTGTTACTAAAGACCAAAATTCAAAACCTGGATTTTTTTGAGAACTTCTCAACACCAGAAGACGCAATGAGTGAAGACGTGGTTATGGTACAGGCAACATACAACCGTAATGGCGCAGTGTCAAAGACGATGAGCATCTATCAGCACAAACTCTGAAACAGCAGGATGCAGTCATTGTTGATGTTTCAAGTAAACTGAGCCTGATCACTGGCTTCTTTCATGCAAAAGACTCTGCTTGGATGATTTTGAATTAAATCCACAAGCTCATTTATTTTCCAGTGCATCCTCAAATTAACTCTGGCTTCCTTTCCCCCCACCCCCCAACCTTTGAGAAATATACCTCCTCTCACTCTTCAGCTCCTCATACATCTTGCTTTTTTACTTTTTATTATTATTATCATTTTACATTTGTCCTCATGTCACAGCAGAAATAGCAGAGTATTGGTTTTATTTTCCTGTAAAGTTTTAGGAACTGCTTACTGCTGAAAGTACTATCGCAATCACTATGACATTAGGTAATCATCATTCTGCTGAACTACAAAGAGGAATCTAGTCAAATAATTAGAGATTTCAGGCCTTAAAATTTCAATGTACAAACTGATACTTGAAAATGACAGAAAAGAAGTCAGTCAGTCTCCAGACGCTGAGTGGGAGAGCTGTGCTGCATGCTACAAGGAATCCATACATCACACACAGACGTGCATACCTAATTTCCATTGACATTGAGTGAAACGAAGGCAAAGAGTTGAAAAAGCTTTAAAATTATGACAATTATGAATGACTTAGTTGTTACAAAGAAATTTGAGGAAGCACGGGCTCATTCTGGAAAGTTAGCCAATACTAAAACTTTTGCAATTTAGGGAGCTTATTCTTGGTCATTCGTAGTCTTTGCCTAATCAAGCTGACATAACATTTTCTTCAAGCATTATTAAATGATGAATTACTTTCAGTAGAATCAACATTAATAACAAGAATTCTCTCCCAAAAGACGCACAGATTTCAGTACGAGAAGCTATTCTTTTGACTGAGATCTCACGAAAATGTGACACAGCTTTTCCCACTCTGCCATCACACCATGGCTTAGTAATGGGAGTGCCAAAGAAACAGCCTATCGAGCTTCAAGCCCCCTCTCCTTTCCCCTCACTTTCCTTACTTACATTTCAAACTCAACGAACGGAATTTTTAATTATTTTTTTTAAACAACAATATTCCCTCACCAGAGTTTGTGTATAATCACAGACAAACCAGAAACAAGGAAATAAAAAATAAGAAAAAAAAAAAAAAAAGTATCTTTTTTCCCCCCACTTCACTCTGAATTCTCCTTCTGGTAAGTTCAGAGTAAGTTTTTATTGCATGTACGTTTGCTTCTAGTAAATGTACACGATTGCACTTCTGAAATAATTTTTAGTATACCCACTCACGATTACACATCTGAACTTACAGTATTGTTCTACCATTACTATATAAACTCTTGTGCCAACCATCACTTGCATACACATTTGCATCATGTCTATCACTTTATAAAAACATGCAAGTAAACACAGGAACATGTAAGCACGTACATCCATACATATACTATATGTTTCCTGGAAAAACTCATCATGCTAGTAAAGTATATATGCATATCCATCAGAGCTTGAACTTCCATCGCTGAAATACTGGGCCTCTAAATAACTTTAGCGGGAGCAGAATTGGGGCCTCAAAGAACCCGTGTGTACCTTTAAAAATTACAGGCACAGTAAAACGTTTTCTGTGTCTGTGTGTATGAAAAAAATATACTTAAGCAGAGCAATGTCTCTAATGGATGTAAACATTTTCTTTCCAACAGGTTAATTCCAGCTGCCTAGAAATTTTTTTTTTTTTCTTTTCCACACGCATGTTTGTGCTCCCCCCTTTTTGGAGGATTTGTACATGACAGGTGCATTCTTGGCCCAGGAACAAATAATCCTGAAGAGCCCGAGAAAGAAAAATCAAACTGAAGATAAAATGACAAGGAATATGTACATTATTGCCTTTCTATTATGTAAAAAGAAAAAAACCCCACACACAAAATTCTGAACACTTATAATGTCTAAGCAATTTGAGGTAGAATTTTCAAAGCTGAAAAGAGATTGTTGCAAAGCCCAGATGCTGCTTTTCAGAAACTAGCGAAAATTGCTGCCTCTGAAAATTACGCTGAAACACAAATGAAGTAAACCAAAAATTATTTACATAAAAATAATTTTACTCCAACATTCTGATATTCCAAAGGAGGAGAAGAACTTTTTTCAAGTGTTCAGGTGGTTTTGCACTCCTACCTCCTACTTCAGATTACACGCAGAGTCACGCCATCTCTGTTCCAACGGATGATTGTGTGAGGGATAAAACAGAAAAAGTTTGTGGTATGATGTGAGGGCTTCTGCTTCACTCACTCTGCTTATTGTACTGTGAAGTCTTCTTCAGTCATCTAGTGAAAGGTTGACAGTTGTATTGTTTTCCCAGTTTTTATTCACAAAACCGTAAGAATTAAAAATCTGTATTAACAAATGTGTGGTGTAATCACCCATCATAGCACATGTCTGTTCACTTGCAGTAGTGTTGTACAAGCCAGTTTCACTTCTGTAATTTTCTGATTTGTGAACATCCGTGTTCAGTTTAAAGTGCTACTGAACGCTTCTTAAAACCATTGCTTGCGCATACTAACATGCTTTTGCTTTATGAAGGCTGCAGTGGCAGGCACTGAAACACTGTCACAAAAAGATGTCCACTTTAAAAAATTTTGGGAGTTGTGGGATGGGGTGGAAAGGAGGAGCAAAACCCTGAAACCAGTATCTTGCCCTCCACGGAAACTCATAGGATGTCTGCCATTCACCCTTCCATAGGTACTTTGTCTACCTTCACGTCTGTTGTTCAGCAGTGATTCCCATCCAGCTCCACAAAGACCCAGCTGTATAAACCAATGCTGTCAAAGAACACAGTTAAGGGATGGATAAAACAGGGAGGGGTGTCTAACATGCTGACCACTGACTGAGCTTGCAAGGATAAAGAAGCCTTGATGGAGAGAAGTAATCATCCATTGCTGTTTGTTTATTTTACCTCCTCCACCACATACTGGAACCTTTTTTGTTTTTTCCATTACCAAAACCATCCCCCACTGAGAGGCCTTTGTGATCTAAAAGGGGCAGAGCCCCTCTTTCTTAACACTGGCAAGTTTATGTGGGCAGATTCATTCAAACACATCTTAAAATAAACATTTGGCTCTTCCCCTACATCACACTGTCCACACACTGCCTTCAAACACATTTAAAAAAAATCACCATTAAAATGCGCTTGCCTAGGACGGTTTTTACTGAGATGTATTAAAACAATTTAGCAGTCTAAGGCACATATTGCCATGGAGGTCCAACTTCAGATGAGAGCTATAGTCTTCTGAAAAAAATAAATATACATTACAGCAAAGTAAACCTGCTGCTATTGCCATAACAAGTGGTATAATAGCTTTCTTGAAAAGACTCCTTCCATCAAAAACCTCCTCCCCACTGGGGATACACCTAATTATATTTAAGTGAATTTGAATCCAGATGTTCAGACCTAAAAGGTCTGACATCAGTATTACAAGGAAAATGACCACTGTGTGGAGAACGAAGCGTTCAAAGGGCACCACTTGCCCCGAAGGGAGTGATTACCTTCAGATTCCTTCAGGTTTAAGAGGTGTAGGTGCTGAGCATCTTAGAGAATTAACTTATGTGTTAAACAAAAATGAAAAACCAAACTTCCTTAACTCCCCACTTTTTTTTTTTTATTCTACACTCCACACACACAGACCACTTTTTCGTTTTTCTAACTACATAGATTTGGCCCTGAGAACAATTCAAGCATGAATCCCTGTAAAAAGACTGTGCACAGGCAACAGAAAGTAGATCTCCCAGAAAGCCTTCTAATGTATCTGAAGATAACACTGGAAAGAACACTCCTCTATTGGAAGAGGATGCCCAGCCACTCTATGGGATACCTACTGCAACCAAAGAAATTGATTAGGAATAATTACAGTCACATTAAACTAGGACATTGAGAAAAATCATGGATTCATTTGTATCAGACATTAACAAACACCTCCATATCACAGGCTGATAAGCTATGCTTTCAAGGTTACCAGCCTGAACTGGATACAAAATGCAACAAGAAAGGCCCACTGTCCCATTTTTAATTTAAAAAAGGTAATAAATAGCTTTTGATTTGGGTAAGTAGTCATCTGGCAAGCTCTACAGTTGTTTGAATGATGCTTAGGATAGCGAATTGGCTGACTGATTGAAATACATCACAGAAATTTAATTCTGCAGTATAGCAACATCCATTGGCGTCAACCATTGCCGAAGAAGCGCAAACACTATGACCCGGTAGCTTACTGCTGAACGCCCTCTCCGCCTCAGTATGGGCTACAAAACCAGAGTACAACACTAAGAATTCAGAGGACAGCAACCTCCCGTGTGACCCCACACAGTTTATTGAATCTTTCTGGCTCCCAGTTTTTCTATTTCTACATAAGAGATAAGAAAGTTTAACTGCCTTTATAAAAAGCTCTGCAAGCTCCGATTTTCTTTTTTCAAGGAAAACATTTTATTGGTGATTGCTGTTTGGATTACTGGCTTGTATCATTAATTTACCTGATGGTTTTGTGCATACTGACACATCAGCAAGGGGAAAAATTAAGTACTCTACTCAGCTACTGTATTTTGAAACGCAAAACTAAGTTTCTTCATACAGTCCTGCCAACAGATCCTAGGAATCTTTTTTTTTAATTATTTTTTTTAACCTATTGACTGTATTTATGTAAAAATCTATTAATCTTTCTTTTCTGGGCAGTACTAATGCAAAAAAAAAAAAAACAACAAAAAAAAACAAAAAACAAACAACCCAAACCAAAAAAAGAAAAAAGGGGCAACTAAAAAACCACCCTAAACCAAAAGACAGCATTTAGCAGGAGAATGTCACTAACTCCTTTTCACTACACTGTCCAGTTTCACTGGATCCCCTTTTCTCTGTCCTTCACACAAGAAGAAAAGTCACCCCTTGCAGGTAACGCTATGGTAATTTACAATTACCGAGCACCTTTTACTCAGAAAAACTATTTTAAAGGAATCTCACACATCTTCCTCACCAAATACTAATGGCAACACGGATTTCACAGACAAACCATTACAGATGCCAGTTTGGCTCTTGGTCACCCACAGAACAGCACAGTACTGGCACCCAAGTGAAAGTCAAAGCTCTAACCCACCCTCTCACAGCATATCAGGGCCAAATTCGGGCAGCGAGCTGCAAGCTCTGATTTCCAGTTTCCCCTATTATGCAGTAGCTCTGATGACAATTCCTCAGTACAATGAAAATGAGACATACTGCATTCATCTAACGCACTATCAAGATAATGACGGAAACCTAAACCCAGCCTCCTTTCCAACCTCTGCCCTGGATAACTAATCGCAAAGGCATACTAAAAAGACACAACTCCCTAGGAAGGCTACTTTTCTGTATTACCACAACTTGTATCTAACCACCCATCCCTTCATCCATAAACAAACAAAATAAAGATCCTTCTGTTTTTCTCTCTTTTAAATGACTTACACAGGTGTACCAGATTTCAAGCTTTAAAAACGTCAACCATAAAACAAAGCCTCAAAAATATAAAACTAATGCTAGGGGAACATTTTTAACCAACAGCATACTTCTGGTTCCACTAAGCTACTCACAACATGGACCAAGCACCCAGCTGTACGCTGGGATTCCTGGGTGGCATCTTTAAGAGTCTGCAAAATCCCCCTTGTAAAAAAATTCATCAGATGTACAAAGGTTTTTTTCCTTTCTCTCCTACTCTCTTCTCACCCTCATCTCCATCCTTGCTTTAGAGGGGAAACATCAAAAAGCGCAGCTGTTACCAGGCCTTTACACCCCAAGTACCCTTTCCCTCTACTTCGCTCCCTGCCATGTCACGGGTATAAAGCACAAGCTAGATTTATAAAGATATTAAAGTGCCAAAAACATGGAGTTTGTCTTGCTGTAAGAGATCTTCAAATATGCTTCCAATATTAAGATACCTATACACTTCTGAAAATCTGACCAGGAGCCCATCTATGTCTCTGAACATCTACATAGCTCTACAAACCTCACCCTACTTCTCTCCTCTTC